CACAGACACATTCTGGGGACACCAGAGACTTATATTACATATTGTAAAAAGGGGCATAATATGTCACCTTTAAGTTCTTGGTGTGAACGGGCCTTAACTGTGAGAAGACATTCAATATAATTTAAGGATTTTGTATCCTTTTTTGTATTTTGTATACCACATACACATTTTCTTGGGAAGAACAACTTGCTGAAACCAGAAAAACGCCCACCATGTCTCGCAGGAGGAATGTTTTAGTTGTCTTTAAACACCGATGTCCATTTTAGGAGATATTGCACAAGTATTCCTGGCATTAACCATTGGTTAAACTGTGGCGTTCTGCAGCGCATCTAAGAGGTTATTATTAGAAAGAGCCTCAAGTTGATGATATTTCTGGACTAACAAAAGCAAGCCATCGGCCTTCTCATGCATGTTAATGAGATTAATGAATAAGATGTGGGATGTCTTTGAGAATACAATCTTACTTTGAAGCCTCTACCATGCCCTTTAAGATGCTCATGCGTGTCAAGCTGCGATTCAACATAAGGATCCGATAGTTCGAATACATTTTAATATGCATCAGTTCAAAATGTTGATCAAAACTGCTTTGGAGAGCTTGCATTTCAGCTGCACTTGAATCAGTGGATCCTCATGGAATTATTGAGCAGCAAGAAACCAGCGTTTTTCAGATGATCAGCGTTATATAATAGAAGTGTCATTTCACATTTCTGTATACCAGGGAAAGCATATTGTGAGCGTCTGGCGATCGTGTTACACAGGCTGTGCTCGAGCTCCCATTCCTGTCTGCTGAAGCAGTTACCATGGGAACACCTTTTTTCCCCTAGTATTGGGGGAGCATTGAAGTGTTGTTCTGAAGTATTTGAAATGCAGGTCTTGCACAGTTTAGCATGTAGTTCCTGTTAATCTTTGGGCGTTAAAACGTGTGTTTTACTAGCTATTTATTGCATTCAAGTCCTTTATTCTGCTTGAATACTTTATAATTGAATAGCCTACTTGTTTTATTTTTTTATTAACTCATTTATTTAATTTGTTAGTTATATGTAGCCTATATTTAGATTTATAGATTTATTTCTTTATTATTTAGTTTAACGTTTAGAGGCCATCAAAAAGGCTGTTTTAACTTGATGATGAGATTATACATCACGTTTTTACAGTAATGTATATCATGTTTTATTTGTGTTTCCTGTAACAACAGTCATAGATCTTTACTTCTCTTTATTAATATTAATTTTAAATGGTAAACTTTTTAAAGGAATTTATTTAGGCGTATATGTTATAATGACCTAGAGTCTAGACCAAACATTTGATATAAATTCAGTTTGAGAGAACAAATCTTTCTACAAAGTTTCCTCAAATCTGTGCGTAACTGTAAAAGAGTGACATCTGGTGGAATTGTGCTGTTAAAAAAAACTCCAGCTGACTATTTAACATATTTAAGAAATTGTCAGCTGACTTTTAGAATATATTATATCAGATCAATAAATTCACACAAAACAATATTAGCTGAAAAATATTTTATATTTATAAAAACATAGAGAACTTCTGCCTTTTGTGTTGACAAAAGATATTTCACAGTATTAAAACATTTAACATTAACAATTAACATACATCTGTGGAACCTTATCCTATATAACAACTCTTAAAATATTAAAATGTTAATTTATTTAATCTATTCCTGACATTGATGCAAAAATACACACGAAATTATTTATGGGTATTTCTGAAACTGTTAAAAATAAATGGATATTTTTAAAAGGTTATTCAAATAAATAAATAAATAACAATATTACATTACATTACAACTGTGCATCTACATGCAATGAAAAATGATACTGTTAAAAGGATATTTTTAATAATCATAACTAAAAAAAAAAAAGGTTTTTAGAAATACTCAGACTTAACGACTAATAAAATAATCGTTTATAAATTCAGTAACGATATAATTACTCTTTTATAAAAATATTGCTAACATAAAAAAATATAAAAAAAAAATATATTCAGCTTTACTTATTTAGAAAAATATATAATTATATAATTATATATTTATATAATTATTCTTATAAAATATTAAAAATTTTAATTTATTTTATTTTTTATTTGAAATAATTATAATTACTTTATATATGGCATTAATACAAAAATACAACAAAATAATATAATATTATAGCTAATAATAATACTAATATTTTTTCCTGAAATGGTTAACATTTTTGGATAGATTTAAAGTTATTCAAACAAACAAATGAAGACATTAAATAAATTAATTTGCAAGTGTGTGTGTGAAAATGTCATGAAGGAATAATTAATTATATTATTAGACTATAAGAAAGATATTTCGGTCATAAATTGAACCTAGCATGAATGAACGAAAAAAAAAAGAATGAATGGATGAATGAGTGCATGAATTAATGATTCACTTCTAAATAAAATAAAATGTATGAATAATTCTACCACGGATGAATGAATGAGGTTTCTGTTGGTTTTGTTTAATCCTACACTGGGTCCGTGTCAGTGACACGACGCACGCGACGTAACGACTCTTCGCTGTCTCGCGTCCAGACGCTCGTGAAGCCGCAGTGCCGCTTAACGGCTAACGTTACCGGAGACGCTTGGCGGAAAAATGCTCCCGCTATCAATCAAAGACGATGAGTACAAACCTGCCAAATTCAACCTGTTCGCCAAGATATCAGGCTGGTTCAGGTAAAGACAGCAAAATGCTAAATATTTCATTGAGTTTCACTCACAGCTGTCGGCTGTGTGGCTAAGGCAGTTAGCATGCTAGTTAGCTCGCGAGACTTTTAAATATCATTTAAACTTTTCTTTTTTTTTTTAACGCAACTATTATGTGCTAAAAAATTAATTTAACAGTTACAACAAAGAAGCAGGCCGCTTCAGCTAATTTTTCAGCCGGACAGATGTTAGCAGGACGAAGTAACGTTTGACACGTTTTTACTTCATAAAATGTGATAAAACATATTCCGCAACAAAATGCTGCTATCAAGAGATTATTTGGAACACATGTCATTTTTTCTAAACCATTTTATTTCAATAAACTACAGTAGTGTATTTGCTTAGCTGTGGGTTCCTAGTATAGCCAGCCTGTCTGGTCAGGCCACTTTATAAATGAATCGGTCTGAAACCACTTTCTTCTTTTGTCTTTGTGTCCTTCCCCAGATCAATTCTTGCTGATAAAACCTCTCGCAATCTGTTTTTCTTCCTGTGTTTGAACCTGTCCTTCGCGTTCGTGGAGCTGCTGTATGGCATATGGAGTAACAGGTAACAGTAGGGGGCCAAACACAAGAATATGCCACGTAGGTCTAAATGTGGGATGAGCTAGTGTGCTTTTGTTTTGGGGCCCTAGCTTCTGTTTGCAATGTTTGGATTGGGGTTTCTCCCATGAGCTGTTATCAAAGTCGTCCTTGAAATGAGATTGACAGCTGATCAAAGTTCAGCAAATACAGGAGGATGTGTCTCGAAACCTATTGAGGTGCCTATCTAGACAATATGTTTCAGGTGTGTTTGAACGTTCAAATACACATCTGATGCCTGAAAATGCATTTTAGATAGCAGATCTTGCTTGGTTTTGAGAAACAGCTGGAATATTTTATATATAACTCTGTGGGGAAAATCCCTAAAAGGAAGTGACGTTAACCATTTGTATGCCATTGTATATTAACAACTATATGTCTTTCCATTCGTACATCGTGCATACACGTTAACCGAGAGTGTAACATTGTTGGTTTAGGCTTAATAAAAAGATTTATATCTGTATATCTGATTTTTTATTATCAGGTCGCACACACTTACAGTAGTTTGCAGTGACAGAGTGACCAGAAGTTATGTATTTTTAGTTGATGTGATTTTAGGTGACATTGTAGTTAGAGGTACAACCGAATTGAGCATTTCAGCATTATGCAAATGACACAATCCCACAATTTTCTTTTGTTGTTGTTTATTATAATAATTTATTTAATGTGCAATCTTTCATTTGATAATATTATGCTAAAAATTGACACAATCTCATGAATTGGAGTGCAGACAGTGAAGGTTTTATTATTATCATTATTATTATTATTACAAATCAATAATAATACCAGTAGTAATGATATAGTGGTATTTTCATTTTTATTTATTTATTTTTGTTGGTGTTGGTGTTTATAATAATTTATTTAAAACAATGATAATGTTATGCAGTTGATAATACTTTGCAAATTGCACAATCCCTCAATTTTTTGGTATTGTTGTTGTTGTTTATTATAATAATTTATTTAATGCGCTATCTTTCATTTAATAATATTATGCAAAAAAGACACAATCCCATGAATAGGAGTGCAGACAGTGAAGCTTTTATTATTATTTTTATTATTATTATAATCAATAATAGGATCAGTAATAATATAAGTGTACATTTTAATTTTTTTATTACATTTGTTGTTGTTTATAATACATTATTTAAACAATGGTAATATTATGCAGTTGATTATTAATTGAATATTATGCAAATTGTACAATCCAACTGATGATTATTTTTATTATTAATTTACTTTACTAATTATAATAATTATTAATTAAATTAAAATGCTTTATATACAATTTATCTGTTTAAATCACTATTAAATATAAACGTATTAGTAAGAGTGTAATTGAGTTATTACATGCTTGTTTTTGATTTATTATTAAATGTTTAAAATGTATTTATTTATATATTCATTTATTTATTTAATTTCATTTCATTTTGCATAGTTTGACCCATTCAAAACTAACTTGACAACCAAATCTCTGTCAGCATGAATGAACCTTTTGGACGGTTTTATTTTTGTCTCTAAGTGAAAAAGTGAATGTCTAACAAAAGACTACACAATGTGACTCTGACCTCAATATGGGGGAGGATGTGTTTCTCAGGTTTCGTGATAATTCAACACTTCCCTTTTTGTGTTGGTTTGATTCTCAGTTTAGGGTTGATATCCGATTCCTTTCACATGTTCTTTGATTGCACCGCTCTCCTGGCAGGCCTTGCAGCATCGGTCATTTCGCGGTGGAGGTCCAATGACTTCTTCTCATACGGGTGAGAGAACATTACAGTCGAACTTACTTTAAAAAGAGCTTTAGTGGGTAGAGTACCAATGACACAAGTTTCCTAAAAATGATGCATTCACTTCTGCCTGAGTAGTGTTGACAGGAAACTGCATGTCTTTGCTTTCATCACTGGGTTGTTATGCAAGTCCATTTGATTATTTTGTAGGTATGTCAGAGCAGAAGTGCTCGCAGGATTCGTGAATGGCCTTTTCCTCATCTTTACCGCCTTCTTTATCTTCTCAGAAGGAGTAGAGGTGTGTACTAGAAGAAGATTACAGTTGATTTACTTGCCAAATGACATACTAATGCACTAATATATTTTTGTTGAATGGTGGCATCTCGTCTTGTCACCAGAGGGCGCTGGAACCCCCTGATGTGCACCATGAGCGTTTGCTCCCGGTGTCTATAGCAGGGCTGCTGGTGAATCTTGTAGGAATATTCGTTTTTCAACACGGAGGACATGGACATTCACATGGTGGTGAAGGTAATTATCTCACATAGAATAAGCACACCATCACGTTTTTAATTAAAAACATTCCCCCTCAAGTTTCAATAATATTCTGGTTTATGGGATTTTTTTAATGCTGTTTGCATACCCAGTAGTGATCAGTAGTGTATATATAATTCAATGTAAAGATATATAAATCTAAAAATATAAATGTATATAAAAAAAAAAGTGTATTTATATATAAATGTATTTTTTAATATATAAAACATAAACTATGTACATCAATAAGCTGTTGTGTTTTATATAAATGTTTATATGAATAATTTTTTATGTTTCTAACATAATATTTTATGTTTGGAATCTTATAAAAAATATTTGTGTGTTATAAATGCTATACGTATAAATATATATTCTTAGAATATATGTATATATATAAATATATTTTTATTAGCATATAAAATAGTGCTGTCAAATCGATTAATCGCATCCAAAATAAAAGTTTGTATTTACGTAATACATGTATGTGTACTGTATCTATTTATATGTGTATATATAAATACATGCATACACATACATGTATATATTTAAGATATATATTTTATAATTTGGATGCGATTAATCGCGATTAATCGATATGACAGGCCTAATGTAAAACATAAACCATAAGAGTATATACGTTGTTTTTGATATTACTAAACTGAATATATCTGTGTGTGTGTATATATATATATATTCAAAAATATGTATTTTTTTTATTTGTGAACATTTAATTAACATTTATATAAAATAGTGTGTGTAATTATTATTATTTTTGTACTGAAATAAGGTGCATAGTTTCTTTATAGATATGTCCTCTTATTTTTAAGGTCATGGCCACAGTCATTCTCTATTTAATGGCAGTGTGGGACATGGACACAGTCATGGAGGCCACGGCCACAGTCACGAGTCCAAACACGGACACGACGATCACGGGCATTCACACGGAGGACACGGACATTCACATGATGATCCTCACTGCCATGGTAAAACCTCAAGCTACCTTATTGTTTTGAGTGCAGTTTCTGTTATGACTCCGTACTAGTGTTGTCAAAAGACCCGGTACTTCGGTACCAAGTCGGTACTAAAAAAATGAAAATGTTACGGTACCAGGTTTTTTTTAAGTACCGGTGGTACCGAGTACCCGGTCAACCCAGTTCTTGATGCGCTATCCGAAAGGTGCGCAGATGCGCTCTCTTCATAAAAGCACTGAGACGTGGCTACCTCAAAAGGAGGAAACACACCAAACTAACAAAACACTTTAAAGACACCCAGATCAAATGAAAGAGTTAAAGCAGGCAAGTTTCATTTTAATTTTAAATATTTGTGTTTCCCATACATTGATTTATTTGGGGCGCCCCGCCACATTATCAAAACTCACCGCCACAAATAGATTTTCCAAAAGGCTTTGACTTCATTGAATAAACATGAGCACTGCACATGTCAAAGCTGAAACCCAGTGTGGGTGTTTTTATATCACTGTATTTCTGAAGGAAACCGACTGTCTTCAAAAAATTATGGATGTCATTGTCATTTCACCTTGCCTGTAATGCCTGATAAAGCAACGTTTGTGAGCGCAGCACTTATTTGATTACAGCCGTTACTGGGGAAACCTGATCTCTCCCGCTCTACAAGCGCCTCCTGCTGGCAGAGAATGAATCTGCATTTATAATTGGTACCGAGAACCGTGGATTTTCACTGGTATTGGTACCGAATACTGAAATTTTGGTACCATGACAACACTACTCCGTACCATTATAATGCATCAGATGTGTTATTTGGTCCTCATGATGTGTGAAAATTGCAGAAGCTGTTTTGATCGTAATGGTGTCTGGTATAGCGTGATTCATTTCTAATCTGTCCGTGTCCTCAGATGACCATTCGCACACACTGGGAAAAGGCTCCAGCAAGCAGATATTACGAGGTATGTCTGTTTTCTGTTTGTTCTCCTCCAGATGGCGCTAGAAGTCTCTTTGTCGCAATATTTGCCTTGCTTTTGAACAGGCACCAGATATGAAAATATTTACAATAACATCTATCAGGTCTAGACAGCTTTTTCCTCTTTTGTAGGTGGACAATATTATGAATTCTTAATAGATGAGGTCCTATAATCATAACTCCTAAAAAAATATCAGAAGTATTTTCTTCATTTAACCACTTGAAATGAATGCTCAGATATGACTGGATGATGGACTTTTATGTGCAACCAAGTGGCACCTCTGACCATCCCAACCCGCTTTAAATCCCTTTGTCCGAGCTTGTGTGGGAAAGAGCAGAGCAGAGAAAGTAGTTTGTCCCCTTCACCCTGGCACACACAGAGAGAGAATGGATCCTTTGGGAGGCCTGCTCAAGGGAGAAAGAACGGGGCACTGAGGGAGGACCATGTAGAGAGGGGGAGGAGAGGAGAGGAGAGGAGGTGACAGTGCAAAAGGTTACGCTGCCTCCATCCCAGCCGAGGGACCTCTTCTGCACTCCCCGTGATGAATTGCAAGTGGATTTTACCAGCCTCCTGTCTATTTTGGCTGTTTATTAAGCTTACTTTTTTACAAAGAATACTTGGTAGATGTACTCTGTTTGACAAAACGGCACTATGCAATATAATGCACTGCACAGACTGCTGTATTCCAGAATGCAATGCACTTGACTTTCCTTTTGTGGTGTGATAAATTATCCATAATTTGTCTAAAAATGTGTTTATATAATGGTTAAGACATTAAAAACATTTTTATTTAATTACTATTGCCATTCATTAAAATAGTGATAATTTATTATAATTTTACAAAAAATATACTGGAATATTATTATAATAAGACAACATTTTATTTATTGATGTTATTTTTGCTCATTATTATTATTATTTATTTTTGTATTATTATTTTGAAAATATTTTGTATTATTAATAGTAATTTTTTGAAAAAAAGCTATTATCATAGCTATTATTTAATTACTATTATTGGAATACTAATAAAATTAGTGATTAATATTATTTTATAAAAACATACTATTTTACAAACAATATAATGGGATATTTTATTATTGTTATTATTAGTGCTGTCAAATGATTAATCGCGATTAATCGCATAACATAATGGACCCTGTTCACAAGACTGATTACGCATTTAACGGTCATCAGCATCGAAAATCCTTGAACGTTTCTTATTAGTGCTGTCAAACGATTAATCGCGATTAATCACATCCTAAATAAAAGTTTTTGTTTACATAATATATGTGTGTGTACTGTGTATGTTTATTATGTATATATAAATACACACATACAGTATATATTTTGAAAATATTTACATGTATTTACATTTATATATTTATATAAATAGTTTTATATTATATATAAATATATTTAATATATAAACATAACATATTTTTCTTAAATGTATACATGCATGTGTGTGTATTTATATATACATAATAAATATACACAGCACACACACATATTATGTAAACAATAACTTTTATTTTGGATGTGATTAATCGCGATTAATCGATTGACAGCACTAGTTATTATTAAATGAGAATAATAATATTCATATATTGTTATTTTGCAAACGATAAATATTTTCATTAATCATAATCATAATCATTGTTATTATTTATTATTTTATAAAAACAGATTATTAGATTATTTTTGGAAAAGATACAAAAATAGATTAATAATTTAATTATTGTTAATAGTAATATTAATGAAAGGCAGATATTTTTAATAAAACATTTTCATATTTATCATTTTCATATTTTCTAATCATTATTATTATTATTTTACAAAAACAGATACAAAATAGATGAATAGTATAATTATTAGTAGTATTAATGAAAGGAATGAATTTTATGAATTTTTATATCTATTATTTTAATAATTTAGAATCATTTATCATTATTATTAATATTGTTGTTTTACAAAAACAGATTATTAGTAGATTCTTTGTGGAAAATGATACAAAAATAGATTAATAATATACTTATTGGTAGTAGTATTAATGAAAGGAGGATATTTTTAATCAAATATAAATGTCATATTTATAATTTTAATATCATTATATATACCATATTCTATAATATTATATTAATATAATTTTGTATTATTATTATTTTACAAAAGCGGTTTATTAGTAATTATTTGTGGAAAGGTGATACAAAATTAGATTACTAATATAAGTATTATTAGTAGTAGTATTAATGAAAGGAAGATATTTTTTATAAAATATAAATATTTTCATAGTTATCATTTTAATATTTTATATTGTAATTTATTATTATTATTAGAATTATTATTATGCAAAAATATATATTTGAATTTAATTATTTTGCTGATACACTTTACATTGTTGTTTTGTCTTGATTGTAGGCAGTTTGTACAGCATAGTAAGCTATCAGTACTCTTAGTAGTAAGCTAGTGTCACTATTAGAATTTTATTCTAAACACAGCCACTGTTTCTAAGGACACAAAGAGCTCCAACATTCTTGTTATTTTTCTAGTATTTGTTTTGACCACATTTGGACAGGGTCTTCACTTATTAGGGAGTTTGCTCTGTTACTGCGGTCGTGCTTTCTGTAAAACTGAAAGTAACCGCAAGTATGTCATCTCATTCTGAGGGAAGGAAAGGACTTAGTGGACCGTCTCATAGCGTGCCGTCACACCACAGTCCACAGCTATTCTCCAGTACAGACCTCTGAGTTCAGGAAATGTTGACTGACTCACTCATGTTGGTTTTAACATAGTAGCGTATGATATATTCTGGACATCTAGTCAGGCAGGACAGTCATGCAGGTTGACCATTCATTTGAGGATGCACTCGTATGACCTGTTTGTGGAATGACCTCATCAGTTTGAGGGTTACCGCTAGAGACGGTATCCAAGACAGCGGGTTCGTTCCGTCCGCAGTAGTCATGTTTAAACATGAGTGCTAGCAAATGTTGTATCCTCATCCCAGACACAATATTAACTCAATCTTAGAGGTTTTTATGTGAAACCAGGACCTTTAAGCCTTAGTGCCTAATTTGCTGTAAACTACCTACAGAAACTGTTGAAAAACGGTACTTCACAAGTGACCAATTTGGAAAAACTCTAGTCATTAACTTATGCAAATTGCTTAAAATGTTTTTTTTTTTTTAACACAAATGATTCCAGTAGATTTGATGTTAAGTTGCTAAGCTAAAAGCCCACACAAATATTTGGTAAAATTCAATTGAAATATAAAAAATAAATAATATAACATTCTATAAATATGAATGTTTTTGTGTATATTAATATTGAGATATATATGCTCAATATAGATATACATAAAATTAATATTAAAACAAACCTAAATATTTATAACAATTTATAGTTCTTTTAAAGTAAATTAAATGTATGTACATAAATAATGTATTAGTTTTAATATTACGTATATAAATATTGAGATATAATAAAACATTTTAAATATTATTGAATATATTTTTATATTTATATGCACTACTGCTCAAAAATTGAATGTCAGTAGATTTGTTTTTAAAATGAAATTAATATTTGTATTTAGCAACGATGCATTAAATTGATCAGAAGTGACAAATGTTTTGTAACATTATAAAAGATATAACAATATACATAAATTGAAAGAAATGCTGTTGTGAAATGAGTTTTCACAAAAAAAGTATTTATTAATAAGAACTTTTTCTTGAGGACCAAATCAGCATATTAAAATGGATCATGTGGCACTGACGACTGGAGTAATGATGCTGAAAATTCAGCTTTGCATCACAGGAATAAATTATAGTTTAAAATATATTCAAATAGAAATATATTACTGTATTTTATACGTACTTAAAAAAAACGTACAAATCCAACCCCAAACATTTTTGAACAGTAGTGTGTATTTTTATTTTTAGATTTTTTTTTAGAACAATAAATCTAAACCCTCATTTTCTTAATTTCAGGAGTTTTTCTCCACATTGTTGCGGACACGTTGGGCAGTGTTGGTGTCATTATATCAGCCATCATAATGCAAAAATACGACCTGATGATCGCCGACCCAATCTGCTCCATGCTCATCGCGCTTCTCATAGGAGTGAGGTGAGTACGCTATTATAAGCCCTGACCTCTCTCGACTCGACTCAAGACAGTCCTCCACCCTCAAACCCCACCCAGAAACCCTCAACAGCACCTGACACAGATCATACAAAAGCCACTTCACAGTGCCCTTCACCAAGAGCCATGTGAAGCCGTTGGCGCTCCAGCCGGGTGAATTACAGGATACATGCTCCGAGGGTGGAGACCAGAGCACTTTCTCAACATGTGGCGAAGCCAGAAAACCCAGGATTTGACTCTCTCATGTGGCATTTTTCAAACAACTTCAGTCAAGAAGGAAAAATGCATAGTATTTCATCACTTTTTAAACCTACCAAACCTACCCATAGTCTTGAAAATGCCATCAGATGCTTTTATGGTGATGAATATGCTTTATTTTGTGTGTGATGTTGGTAAATGTATGTAAAGGCTGTGTAAATTTGAGCAGGACTGCACCATGTTTAAATTGCAGATGACTTGTGGTTACTGTGCTACAGTGAAGAGGCACCGTTCGTGGCCTCTTTTTGCAAAATGCACGAGTTTGAGCAAAGCCTTTCCCGCATATTCATCTCGTCCCTTCCCCTCACCCCCCCACCCCCCCCACCCCCTTGTCCGTGTTTGAGGCTTTTCTTCTCCCTCTCTGGAATGTGGTGGCGATCTGTGAATGTTACTTCAACAAAGGCATCTTTTAAGATGGATTTTTCCCTTCTCTTTGTTTCTCAAAAAGGGGGGGTTTATGTCATCGAGACCCCGTTTTGGACATTTTTTCCCCTCTTCTTCTGTTTTCCATGCTGTGGCCGAATGGTAAATCCTGAGAATCAAGAGTAGGGCTAAGATTGTGGACGTTTTCCCACATTGCCACTAGTGCTGTGTTCAAAATATCGATACGACGATGTATCGTCACAGAGATTTGACGATATGAGTATCGATACAGCTGGCCCTGTATCGATGTTGTGGCACGTGTGCAGCAGTGGACCACGCTTAATTTGTTTAAAATTTTACAACGTTTAAAATTGAGTAGAAAAGTGCGAGGTTTCTAAAAAGAAATGGCACTATAGTAATTAGTGTTTAATAAACAGCTGTTTTTCTAAATTCTGCTGAGGTGAAGTTCAGTGCAGTCATGTATCGTATGTATCGTATCGTGGCCTCTGTATCGTGATATGTATCGTATCGTGACTTTGCTGGTGATACACAGCCCTAATTGCCACCTGCATGACAGCGTCTCAGTATCATTCAGGTGCTGTCTGGAGGTACAAAGGTATCACACTAGTATGGAAAGCCATTAAATTCCAAAGCGGATAATTAAAAACAGTTGCAAACCAGAAATGAGCTTGTTAAAGATCTCGTGAAGCTTAAGACTTCTCGTTCCTGTGGTCCATCTGTAGATGTTTTGTCTTTTGACATTGACTGATTTTGTTATGACTAAACATGTATTGGTTTTCTGAGACTTTAAATTAGGCAAAATTTCTGACTTTTCAGAATTGAATACTAGCATATTGTGCAGTGTACACTACTGTTCACTGTTTTTAAAATGTTATAAAAAGACGTCTTTTATGCTCATCAAGCCTGCGTTTAAACTTTATATGATCAAAAATACAGTAATATTACAAAATATTATTTCAAATTAAAATAACTGTTTTCTATTTTATTTTGTTTTAAAATGTAATTTATTCCTGTGATGCAAAGTTGAATTAAAAAAAAATATATATAATCAGGGATGCACATAAGTATTTCAGTCTGGTTCTCAATAGGAGATTTGGTTTGCTGCTCACACTAGACATAGTGTGACCCATTAAATATAACTATAAAAAAAAATTTAATTAATTAATTATTGCATTTATTTATTTTTTTAAAAGTAAAATAATAAACCAAATAATAAATACATTTTTATAATATTACATTTTTAAATAAATAATGAATATTAAATAAAAATAACATAATTTTATAGTACACTTAAAAATTACAATGCTAATATTTAAATGTTCTTTTTTTTTAGATGTATTTTTGGCTTTTTAGCCTTTATTATGATAGGACTGTGTAGAGCTGACAGGAAGCGAAGTGGGAGGAGGGGGGGGATTGGGAAAGGTCCTCGAGTCAGGATTCAAACTCGGGATGCTCGTAGCATAATGGTGCTATATGTTGGCGCGCTGCCCACAAGGCTATTGGTCCTGTCATTTTTTTTCTTTCTTTTTTCTTTTTTTATAGGAATTTTTAACACATTCAAACCTAAAATCAGAAGCTTTTATTTTGGCGGGTTGCCAGAAAGTAAGTATATGCACTGCCGGTGAAGCGCGTCAATATATGAAATGTCACCGTTTTTCGTTTTGCTCTGAAACCGGCAGTGCATAGCCTACCATTAAATATTACATATATGTATGTAATAAAATGTGTATTTCCATTCCAGGTTTAGGTCTTAAATTTGATATAAGATGGTATTAAAAAGGTCTTAAAAAGTCTTAAATTTAACTTGTGCATGTCTGCAGAAACCCTGTAGAAATGTGTTCAGTTTTAATGGAAATCTTATACAGTATTACAGTTAGTCGGTCTAAAACGGTGATTGAGCATTAACAGCGGTCAACCATGTTGGTGCGCAAACTTATTTACCCAGTACATTTTCTTTTCTCGCGCATGCGCACCTGCACACCACTTTTGTAATATAAACTTTTGTAACATTATAAATGTCTTAAAATAGTATGATTTTTTTACATTTTATTTTGTGTTCCACTCAGTACCATGCAGTACATTGTGGGATAAAATTGTGGGATTTTGCCAAATGTACTATGTCAAGGGTACTTGAAGGGTTAAAAATTTGCATAGTAAGTACAGCATATCTACTATATACTGCATAAATAGTAGTATGCTAGTATGCTATTCCAAACATCGCCCAAGAAAAGTGATGTGTTCTCAAGAACTAGGCTTAATGTGTTTGGGGAAACACGGCTGTTATGGATATAGATTTATTAAACCCATGATATGCTAGTGTGAAAGATGGTACTGTGGACCAAAGCATGAGTTCATCTGCAACTCTAGACTCTCTTACGCATTTGGACTTCATGCCTGTGTACGTCTGGCGCAGCAGAATCATTTATCGTTCAAGTCTTGAGAGAGATAGACCATAATTGGCCGCGTGGAATGTCTGTGGTTCTTCGTCTGATAGTTAAGATGGACTCTGCTTTGTTTGGACAGCATTTTTCCCATGTACCCCTCATTGTGAGATTGATATTCTCAGGAGAGCGCCTTGTTTTGATCCAGCCATCTTGCTCGCATTTGGACGTTTGACCTTTAGTACACCTGGAAAGTGAAATGTATCAAGTCTACTGGCAGACTGACAAAATAGACCCATAGACCCAATAGTGCATCTTGCTCGCATTTGGATGTTTGACCTTTCGCTAGGATGATGGACTTCTCCTTCATCAGCCGCACCTGAGGCGTGACACATTTGCACGGGACTCTCGGCAAAAGACCCCCCGTTGCACGCCAACCGTTTAGCTAAGGCCGCTCTGGGTGTGGTAGGCTTGCTTCAGGGGGGATATCTGGGTACGGCTGCAGCGGCTAGATCTCTCCCGGTACCCTGTGATTAGTTGGAGGGAGTGGAGGAGTCCTGCTGCTGTGACCTACAGCAGTCCCCCACCACCAAAGTCTTCCTAAGACCGCTAATCGCTTTGGGTCCCAGCCTAAAGCCCAAGGAATGGGTGCGTAAAGAACGTTAACAGTAATTAGCATTTGTTCTGGCCGTACTAAGCTGGGCCTTTGTGGATGGATTCATTTGTCAGGCCTCAGTGCAAATGTTTAAATGGCTCTCCAAAGCTGCTTTTGTCGCATGTTATTGTGTTATTCTTTGATCTACTGTATTTTTTGCACATAATGCACTTTAGCACTGTGCCGGCTGCTAGCTACTTAATGTATGTCTTTTTTAGAATGCTAATTTACGACTTATTGGTGCAGGTGGGGAATGAGCCACATATAGCAACATATAACACATACAACATGCAATTTATTTAACGCTCAGCTCTGTGTATATATAAGTAATCGATGTTAACTGAGGGCTGTATCATTCAGTCTGGAGAATTTCCGATTTCCATCGGGTTTCACTCCATTTTCACTAATTGCAGGTTATTGTTTGAGCTACTTGAATTGATTTCATTTTAATTTCATATTAACTGGTTTTGGAAATGTAGTTTTCAAGGTTCTAGCTCATTTATGTCCAAGCCTTTTCAATTTTTAAGCTTGTCTCCTTTTTAAGTCTATATGCCGAATCTCTCAAAAGTGATTTCACCCTAAAATCAGAAGAGGGGAAAAAATTAAAATAAATAAATATATATAATTTTTTTAATAATGAATATCATATTTTTATTGTGTTTACGCAAGTTATGTTGAAAAATTAGCTTAATTTTTTATAAAAATAATGTAACTTCATTTTTTTTTTTTTATATTCTTTTGATTTTTGAGGTGAAATGTAACCCAGACATGTCTCATGAGATTTCAGTTTTACACAAATGTTCTTCTACATTCAGACTGGACCTTTTGTGACCATCAGCTATGTGGGAAGAAAGTTTTAGTATTAGTGATTGTTTGTAGAGCTGTTCAGAAGATGTTTGAACGTTTGCAGACTCTCAAACTATAAAAATGAGCTTTTGAATCCAAGCAAAAGTTTTATGCACAAGGCCTAATAGCTATACAATCCTGTGGTTATGGCCATAGCTTGAGTGCAGTTGGTTCCTAGCAGGAAAGCATCGAAAGTTTTTTTTGTAGTGGAATCCCAATAACTGCTTGCCCTAGAAATGGAAAAGTTTGTTAGGTCCTATTGCATATAAATCTCAAGTTAAATGTACCTGTTCTAATTCCCACTGCTGTTCAGACGCAGACCTCACTACAGTCACCTCATTCTTGTGGTGGTTCTGGTGTCATAAATATTTCTGTGCTCTAGTTAGGTACTCAGGTTGTCTGGGCGTGATAACTAATCATTTCCATGTGGTTTAGAAGTGTGCTTTTACGAGTGACTGCTTTATGCCGCGTGACTCCAAGATGTTTTCCTGGTTTCCAAAAGAGTCCCTAGGTGATTACTAGCGTCCTTGCAGAAATATTTTATCCTGATTGTCACCCTGACCTGGGTGGTGACATTTCGTGTATGTCACTGGCCAGCCTAACCTTGATGCTCGCACGTAATTGTATTTCAGCCAGCTGAGTCACTCGTGTAACTGCATTACAGATTTTTCGGGGCAGGTTAGCCATCAAGCGCCAGTGAACGGTGAGTAAGAGTGCCTCTGTTTCACTGAACAGGAAGGTGTGCAACAATAGTATGATGTCAGAGGTCTGAGGTACCCTCATCCAGTACTTTCCTGTTTTCATTTTATTGTCCAAAAGATGGACAAACACACCGGTTACTGAGAGGAATGCACAGTGGCCAGTTTTATGATGCCCTGTCACAGTATATGTTGAAGGAAACATATGGTAATTATAGAAAAACCTTCAGAAAGTTGACAAGTTCTGTGGTGTGACATGCTACACTTAAAATAGTGTTAAATTAAGTGTAGCATGTCACACAACAGAATTGTGCAAAAAGGTTTGTGCAAAAAGGTTAAAAATATTGACCAGCCCAAATTTCAGACATCCAATTGCATTCAGACAATAACTTTGCAGAATTACCACTTGCTTTTTAAACTTACCTGGCTTTTTCTGCACTTTCAGAATGGATCTGTTTTGTCAGTCTGCCAGTAGACTTGATACATTTCACTTTCCAGGTGTACTAAAGCTAATAGATCCAAAAAGGGATGAGACCGACCAATCAGGCTCCAGTTTCATGTTCCTATATGGCTTTAGTATAGCTTACAAGCTTGTTCGCTTGCAAACATTGCTTGGTAAACCACAGTCATCTTGAGGGAGGTATTGAACAGAAATGCTTGCATGCGTTGCACTTTAAACACATCAACTAATGTTACTTGACCACAAAGAGGGCTGAGTAGTCAGTATCACTGTAGATTGGTCTGGAGCATAGTGCTTATATTGATATTACTCGTGTATGCTCTCAATATAGGGTAGTGAAAGTCTGCAAAACCTCATGGGTCAAGACACAACTATTGTGAAATCGAAGCCTTGTGAGTAACATGATTGCAGTTTTTTACATTTTATCAAAACAAAGTTGGGGCAAAATATTTTGAAGGCACACGTTGCAGTTTTTCAACAGTGTGCCAAGGAGTGTTTAGCAAGGTCAAATGTTGTGAAATGTGGCTTTTATGCCACAGTTTCATGAACGTCCAAATGAGAAAACGATCAGCTTCTCCAATTTGGCGTGTCCCAAACTGAGGCTGGGGTTTCAGGGAGGAGTTCAGGAGAACATGGGGGTGATAGAGTAGATTAGGGACCGGGAAAAAAGTCCAACCCAAGGAACCCTCTAATGGTTCCCAGATGGAGCAGTGGTCAGGCCTTGAATGTTTCAAGGAGGACTGATGACTTTGTAAGATGCTGGCCTAGCCAAGACCTAGCTTTGATGGGGCAGAAACGGCTGACTGGTTAGGAGAGAAATAGTCCTAGTCCTTTCTTAACCGGTCAACCGTTTCTGCCAAGTGATTCTTCAGTAGAATGAATGGGTTTGGATGCCTATCCTGGTGTGCTCAGGGTTGCTTGCTGGCTCACACGCACTACAGCTGTTGGAATAATATCAGCACAGCTCTCTGTTACTCCACCCCAACCATAAGATGGGCAAGTTTATGTTGGACCACATTGAGCATGCCCTGAAATAATCTGAATGAAAAGAGTTATTGCTTGTCATGATAATGACAGAATTTCCTCTCCTCAGCTTATAACACGATGTGTCAAGCTGTTAGGTCACTAACTGATTCATATCCAATGACGTCTTTATGTGTGGCGTCCCTTCCTGTTGCCAGAGTTTGCCTAGTACTTGGCGCTCCATTGAGCTCATGTCTCACAGAACGGCAACTTATTTCTCGCCTCCTTCTTTCCCACAGTGTGGTTCCTCTGCTCAGGGAGTCCATTGGGATCTTGATGCAACGGACGCCTCCTTCTCTGGACCATACCCTTCCTGAATGCTACCAGAGGGTGAGTCATTTCCATCTTCTGGATCCTATTTATGAAAGGTGGCTACTTGGTCAGACAGAGTTAACCTTGCATATCAACTGGAATTGTAGCCAAGGCACTGTTTACACCTGGTATTAAGATGTGTTTTCATCAATCCGATCACAAGTGGACAATGCTAAACACTAGGGATGTGCATCTCCATAACTGAGACCGATGTGATACGCATCTCGATGCATAGCCAACGATACGATACATTATAAATACATATGAAGTAGCTACCGATGCCATGCGATACGATTCACGTCTATTACGATGCAGTGCGATCCGATTTTGATTTGATTCAACACAATACGATTGACCACTTCCAGAGGTAGATGAAAAACGCATTCGCAAACTCGTTTGCATTTAGCAAACGCGTTTGCATTTAGCCTTTAGTGGCTAAATGCAAACGCATTTAGCCACTAAAGAAACCCCCCTCCCCTCCCCTCAAAAGAAACTCGGACAGAAGTGGTCGAAAGTAGACAGAAGAGATAAATTAAAATGCCTTCTTCCTCGTCCACTTGTGACGATTGACCAAAAGGCATTTTAATACCAGGTGTAAACAGGGCCCATATTGTCCCGAAATGTAACTAGCTAACCATTTAGCCACATTTGAAGAATGGGAACTTGACCCTTTGTTGAGAGTCAGAACCTCAATCTTCATCCCGTTGCAAGATGGCGGTTCCAGGTTTTTGCCTGAAACAGTTCTAGATAGCCAATGACAGTCCAAGCACCCTATTGAGCATCAGAACCTTCTCAACTTCTGCAAAAAACTGGGGCTGCGTTTGCTAACTTCTAATGTTCACTGCAGGTCCAGCAGCTTCACGGTGTCTATAACCTCCAAGAACCTCACTTCTGGACCCTTTGCACAGACGTCTACATTGGTACACTCAAACTCCTCGTGGCGCCTGATGCAGATTCTAGATGGATTCTCAGCCAAACGCACAACATTTTCACACAGGTGGGGACTGTTTGAAAACACAGCTGTAAGAACTTAATCTCACTTGAGAGATGTTTCAAAGTTTCCATTATATGATCTTTTCTGCCCTGTGCCCAGGTTGGCGTCAGGCAACTGTATGTTCAGATTGATGTGGCAGCCATGTAGAAGTCCACCACACTTCTCCTGATCTTTGGGAGTCCCGGGACCAAAGGCCTTCTGTGCTGCTGTGGGGAAATTCTCCACCTCAACCCATCTCTTTTTGGGTTTCTGTTGCTCCACTTCCATCTTGGATCAAGATGGAGCTGGTGCAGTCCAGCAGTCTGACTCCACTCTTGCCAGAAAACAACTGACCAGCTACAACAATGTGATGTTTTTGAGGGAAACAAGAACTTGCAACATTAGTGCACCCTCTCGATCATTTGAACTTTTTGTTTTTGAAGTTCCCCATTGCTTTTGATTTTTTTATGATCCCAACAAACTGTTTATTTTCCTCATAATTGCTGCCCTTTCCCATCATCAGAATGAGATTTTAATTATCGGTGGTATGAATGTGGAGTTCAGTGGACATTTGTAAAAATAGCAGTATGTGATTCATTGACTTTTTGTACATCACCTGCTTTGCTTTTCAGTTGTAAAGAGGTGCAGAATTTGTTTCGCCAATGCCATTATGTAAACATAAATATTTGACTGCATTTCTTAAGTGCCTTTTTAAAAATGATCATGGACAATCGCTTGGACCATCATGTTTGATGGTCAAAATGAATGCGATGAAAACTGGATCTTTATGACCTTGAGTTCTGTCTACAATTAAAATATTCCTTTGCATTTGGCTTTGCTGTTTATGCATGGTGTAAAATTTGTATGAACAAGTTCCTAAAATCTGTCATACAGACAGAATGACACAGACGCAGCTGTTTTCATCCATAAGTCTGATGAATGACTTGAATGCAAATCATAAAACAGCTCTATGATTTCTCCATGAATGCACAAGAAGGTACAAGCATTAGTAGGCAAGTCCAACATATTTGCAGTAAAATGTCAGAGCATATTACTGTTTATTTCCTTTAAAGCAATAGGTGGAAACAGTTCATCAAGGCTGATCCTGTCTAGACACACAGACCTTTACCAGTTTAAAATTGATCCAAGATTTCCTCCAGTGATTTTCTCAATATAAATACATCTTTTACTTTGTGTTTTCAGCTGTACTTAAACCAAATTAAAATGAAATCAATTCTGCTCTGGAATGGGTTGAAGACAGGACATTTACAAGAAAGGACATTTAGCAAAACCATGGTTAATTTGTGGTTGCCACAGTTTAACTATAGTAGCCATGGTTTTTTGGTTTTATTTGTGGTAAAACCATGGTTAATTTTCGTAAGGGTTATTTACAGATGGGTAGGGTAAAGACACTTTTAACACTGAAATTTCACTTCTCCTTTGTAAGAATAAACCACGTTTCTTTGAGAAACACACAGGATAGTCTTGAGTGTTTTATCACAGAACTAGTTTCAACCTGTTACTTGGTTGTTATAATGCTAGGTGGAAAATATAAAAGTGTTCTGCAAAAAATATGACAAAGCCCACACTTATAGCACAAGCAAACATGCAAATATCTTAAAGGGGTCATGACATTTTTTTATTATTTTAATATGTTCCTTGAGGTTTACTTATAATGTTAACATGTCCAAGTTTTTTGAACAAAAAAAAAAGTAAATATGTGGAAAAAATTATTTTCAACCCTCATTCTGACCCTGTCTAAAACGACCTGTTTTTAAGGGGCGGGCCCTTTAAGGCTCGTCAGTAATTGGCCACTGTTATGATTGGCTAACGTCACTGCATAGGAAACCGTATCAACACCACCTCGCTATTGCATATGAGTGTTTTGACAACATGATCAAAAATAAAATGGTCATTTCCAGACAAAGCAATATGAAATCATTTACTTACGGTTTGTGATGCAGCTGCAGTCAGATCTAGTACCGCTTCATTTTTCAACAGATGTTTCTTTGTGAACTCTCCATGACACTGTGCCTCATTTACAAAACAAAATGGTCCGACCAATCCTCAGACACAATCTTGGATGCCATTAAAAATAAACTATCCACTTCCCTTACGCTGGGAACCTTCTGATATCTGTACAAAGACGTGAACGAGCTGTTTAAACCAAACGCAACAAAGCAAACTTTCTTTCACTCCATTTGTTCAATTGACGACAGACTCAAGCGCATGGACTGTGTCCAAAAGCGAACGTGCATCTGTATACTGTATCCAGTGTAGACAAGATAGCGGCAGCGATTGTAATTTCTATTTGCTTTTGATGCGAAGTGATGCATTACTCGCATTCATCATAATCAAGTGTCAGCTGTTAAGCGACTGAACAACAGTGGGCTGGGCCTACTGGATGATGAGAAGAAGACTATTCGTCAATGTCTTGGAGGCAGTCTTTATGCAAATGACTGAACCCCTGTGACATCACCTGGCACCTCGGATCCAAACTAGTCGTTTTCTGAGGGTTATTTCATAAATGCTTTTTTTATTGATGATGAGGACATTTTAAGTTATGAAACTTGCAGGATGTATTAAGCATACAAAGACCTCTTCTATGTCAAAAGATCAAGGAAAATGTAGTTTCTCATGTCATGACCCCTTTAAGAATATTCGGATGTTAGAAAATGTATAATATTCTTATAACAAAGTCTATTACATATAAACAAGGACTTAAGTAAGTTTTTTGTCAAAGGTGTGAATGCTTAATGAAAGTTGGTGAATCTTGGGCTTTGTACTTCGACGGCAGTATAAACCAGATGCAGATCTGTAAACACAATCATCTCTAAATGCAACACGTGAACTCAAATTTGTCTTTGTATAAATAAAGCAGACAGAGGCAAACTACTTTCTGACAATAGCTTTGTTCACTTTTTATGCAATTCAAGCTGACAGAAATGAAATGAGAGACTACAAACAAAACCACATATGTAGATGAAAACAGTCAAACCACATGTAGGGCGTTGATGTGATCAGTGGCACCGAAATGAGTGTCTTTATTGTACGAAAATCAATCTTCATCCATTATGACATGCTCAAAGGAATCTCAGTATTTGCTTTTATCTTAATTTACATTCTTACTGAGAAAGTTCCATTAAGAAAGGCTCTTGGTACGGAAACATTATGCCAATTTCGAAGAAAGCTCAATTTCAGAGGCACTAATGCAACCCAGATGCAGTTGGTCCACAATAACCTTTTCCATTTCCTCTATTATAATTCCATCATTTACTTTTTTGACAGCAAGAACATGACTGCCACACGTCAAAATAATCATCCCACTCCCAATCTAAATCTTGTAATGAAATGCAACCCTTGCCTGACCGGTGCTTAAAGGTTAAAGTGGTCAAATTTGATCTGGAATAACAATCATGTCATTTGTGTGCTCTCCTGACCCTCCGGCAGCTCCAGGCTCTCACGTGGACCGGCTTGTCCGCTTTTCCTTTTAAAAAAATCCCAGGAGCACTGGAAAGGGAACTTTTTTCTTGAGGAGCACAAGCTTCTTGGATATCAAGAAACATATGTGGAACTATTGGTCATCTTCAAGGTCTTCAATCCCTCAGGACCACTGAAGAGTTTCAACATGTCCACCTCCAGAGGGTGAAGGTGTCCGCTGATGATCATTGAGTGAAGTGGTCCTCCCAGGTCACTGGATGCCAACTCTTGCAGTGTCCCAGAACGGATGGTCTGGTCCTCGGCTCCGACCCGAGCCAGACCAACACACACTGTGTCTTCAGTCATTGCTGCATTGAAGGAAAGAACATAGGATAAACCATGAAACCAAAGCTCACAAAGCTTTCAATCAAATCTAATCCAATTTTCCATCAGTGCTTGCCAGAGTTGGCCAGACGTCAAGATGGTTTAACCACAAATTTCACAAAGGTTTTCATGCAATTTAGAAAGGTTTGCAAGAGTTACCTAGTTCCTCGCCCCGATCCCGTCGGTTCTGTAGTATCTCCAGGAGTTGCTCAGCTGCCTGAGCGACAGTCATGTACCTGGTAGGCTCGTAAATCTTTCGACCCCTAGAAAGAGAGGGTAAACTGGTAAACTTTAAGGTGAGCAGAAGTATCTGGTGTCTTCTAATTTGTCTGGATCCTTGACAGTGTCAAAATTAGTTAATGCACTGGTAACCTTAAAGGATTCATTCATTCCTGAATTAAACTTTCTTTCTTCAGTCAAAAAGAAATTAAGGTTTTTGAGGAAAACGTTCCAGGATTTATCTTCATATATTGGACTTCAATGGGGACCAACAGGTTGAAGGTCCAAACTGCAGTTTCAATGCAACTTCAAAGGGCTCTACATGATCCCAGCTGAAGAATAAGGGTCTTATATAGTGAAACGATTTTTAGAACGTCATTTTCTAAAAAAAATCTGCAGTTTCAATGCAACTTCAAAGGGCTCTACATGATCCCAGCTGAAGAATAAGGGTCTTATATAGTGAAACGATTTTTAGAACGTAATTTTCTAAAAAAAAAAATACAAATTTATATACTTTTTTAACCACAATTGCTTGTCTTGCACTAGCTCTGCAATGCATGTCCACAACTTTACACATTACATAATCACGCTGCAGGACACGTGTTGTTAGTTTTTCGTCTTTGTACTTCGGTTGAAAAGGTTAGTGTAGGTTGAAAAACTCCATATGATTTTCTCCTCCAATTTCAAAATCATCTGACATCGATTTACCTTTTTTGTAAAGGGTGTTTGACTTTCTTTGCACGTTCGCTTTGTAAACACATGGGTCGGTACTTCAGCCTACGTCACACGTGACCTTTCCAACGTGACTACGTAATGCATGAAGTCGTGGACGCAGAGCTAGTGCAAGACGAGCATTTGTGGTTAAAATGTATACAAAATGTTACTTTTTTTTTTTTTTTTAGAAAATGACCGATCGTATTGCTACATAAGAACCTTATTCTTCGGCTGGGATTGTGTAGAACACTTAGACGGTGCACTAAAACTGAAATTTGGACGTTCGATCCTGTTGAAGTCCACTATATGGAGAAAAATCCTGCTTAATTTCTTTTTTGACTGAAGAAATAAAGACATGAACATCTTGGATGACATGGGGGTGAGTAAATTGTCAGGAAATTTTAATTCAGTTGTGAACTAATCCTTTAAGTTGCAGGTGGTCCCAGAACATTGTGCAAGTAGGTGGCCATTAATGCAATTTACATCTGAGCTTTAAAGTTAAATACTCTGAATTCTTTACTTAGGGTGCATTAGCCATTAACGGACCAATGGTCCATCCTTGATGAAATCAGTCAACTTAAGGAAGTTGGAGACATGCTTTGAATTTCTTTTTGGGGCTGTTTCCCCCTCCCTGCAGTGAAGGGCACCAACCTCACTGGACAAGCATCTGACTGTGACCAAAATCATGCAGCATATGGTTATTCCATTTCCGAGTAATGGTACAACAGTGCCAATAAATCTGGGAGACATTAGCACACTTTCCAGCCTTGAACAGGGAGCACGCAACAGGCCTAATGCTCGTCTCCTTATAGCGTACATAGTGGAACACTAAACCCATTTGGGGTTTATGTGGATTGGATATAAAATTACACAAGTGCATGACCAAGGGGGGAGATAATTACAGGACACTACGGAGAGAGCAAGGAGTTAACAACCATCTTCTACGACGAGAAATAATTCAACACCAGTGAAGGTTTTTCGGAAAGACTTCGAGTTCAAGTTTGAAAGCAGACGATGAAGTTCACTGTTGCCGATAAAACATATTTCTGAAGGCTTCAGATGGGAAAATTATACCGTGGCAGTTCTGGAGGCGGCCCAGGGAAGGTCCATGATAACATATCATGCTTCCAAGTCAAACAAGCTGACACGGTTTTTACTTTTGTTATTTTTTTCCAACTCAACCAGTCTGCCCCCCAGCAACTTGCATGAAACCACAAAACGACCCTCCTGGAAAAGCACCACAGACTAGATATAAATCAGCACAACCTCACAGAAAATCAGAAAGTGAGAGTCTTACCTCATTAAATTCTCCATGGACTGCTCTTTGACTTTGATATCTGCGAAACAAGGGAGTTGTAAGTGTTGTACGATACAATAAGCTTGGGTTTTATAAACTAGGCCTCTCTGGATGTTACTGTCACATCATAAATAGTAGGTCGCCCCTCCATCTGGGGCTGTTAACCCCACGCAGTCTGGAGCGTGAGTACATTTTCAGACTGCACCTGAGAGGGCCCCATATTGAGAACAAAGACAAATGTACAAATCACGACCAGTCATGTTCTCGACACCATGTCTACACTGAAAGTGTCTACGTTAACCTCAAAATGTTCATAAATAACGGACCAATCAGATGAAAGTTCAAGGCTAAACTTCAGCTACAGTAAAATGGGACAATTTCTTTGTTTCCTACTTTCTTTAGAAATGGAAATTTGGTATCAAAACTATTTGCATGCATTTTAGAATAGCAAAAAAGTATGTAAATCTAACTTTTTTTTTTACATAAAAGCTTCACAAAACATTTAAATTAGTAGGCTAGAAACCAGAAAACTGACATAAAATGAATTGTAAAAAAAAAAAACAGCAAATTTACACAAAAATGTATGTAAAATTAATTTTATTTCTGAAAAAACTAGAAACTGACATAAAATGCATAATTAATTAATTAATGCTATTTGACAAAAACAGAACCTAGAAAATTGTCATAAAATTCATAATGATATTTGTAAAAAATTGTTTTTTGAAAATTTGTAAAAGAAAAATGACAAATCCATAAAAAATGAAACAAAAAGCAGAAAATGAACACATTTGAATTTATTAATGATATTTGTAAAACAAAATCACTTTAATTTGTAGTTGGACAGGAAAAAAGTGGCTGGAGTAGCAGTGTAGTGAATCAAAAACTGAAATGGAAAAAGTTAATGTACGGTGTAGACACTGTATTGGACTAGACTTTTTTGGAGTTACAAATCTAATTTTATTTTTGAATTTAATTTCGAAACACCAGCAAATAAATTGACCAATATTTGCCAGCTAGAATAATAACCCACGTCTTGTTAGCAACGTTATGATGAATGGATGCAGTGTATAGTAGTCCCTGTGTTTTGTCTATGTGTGTGTGTGTGTGTGTGTGTGTGCTTTTGTTGTGTCTGCAGGTTATTGTATTAGATAAGCGCGCTTGCGGCCAAGGGTGGACGGGGAGGTGTCCAATCCCCGCCTTCCTCTGTTTGCTTTTGAATAATGAGGTTAATAACCCTGATCCCTCTCTTGCTCATTTTTGTCCTCACTCTTGCTCTCAAACTCCTCAGCTGGGAAGCACCTGGGGACTCCCGCCCCTCCCCCTCTGTCCCGCCAGCCAATGAGACACTACCCCGACCAACTGACTACGATTTTTACCAACATTCATTACCAAAGATGCCTTCCAATGGGAAATCCCACTGGTACTTTGGAAAACGGGGGTTTATTAAGAGTTGGCTGGAAATCTCCTTGGCACAGAGATATAAACGTAAATTATTTGTGACCATCTGCCTTGGGGGTACCAGAGCGTTTGCAATGGGCCCAAGTTTAATGTGCGCCCCTAAGGGAACTGCCTATTTGATGGAACGTCAAAATACGGGGGTTGTCTCATCTGGTTTTGACACATTCATTGCTACAGTGACTGTTAAAGATGCAACACACATACATGCTTGAGGATGTGAGCCAAGGGACAAACCGGAGAACCTGCCAATTGTGCCACATCATATAACGTTCTAATTAGAACATCTCGTTCACAAAGACTCAAAGGAAGTGCTTACCCAGCAGGCACAGCGTGTGCAGGCCCATATCCCTGTTCTTTTTGATCTTATCGTAGAAGCTTTCAGGTCTCCATGTGTCCATCCAAAACACAATGGACACCGTCTCCCCGAAGTTGTACAGCTAAGGAGGAAAATGCAACCACATTCATACTTTATTTACTCACACTAGTTCTTATTTTGCATTGGTCACTGTGTTCACGAGTAGCCAGCTCTGTTTAGCCACCGACAAGGTGCTTCCTGTTATTCAGTAAGCATGACATCATTCTGAACACTAGAGTGCCACACAGCTGACACAACAAAGTGACATTACAGCAGGCAGACTTCTTACTGGTTACTTTAGGTCCTACAGACCCTCTGAAGCACGTATTAGTGAGACATGAACAAACACATAGAAGTCGTCCCACATCTTCCAAGTCCAGGGGTGTCCAATTATACTCCTGGAGGGCCAACGATCTCCAACACACTAGCCTGGAATTTTCTAGTGAGTCTGGAGACCTTGATTAGCTGGTTCAGGTGTGTTTAATTAGGGTTGGAGCTAAACTCTGCAGGACAGTGGCCCTCCAGGAGCAGGTTTGGACACCCCTGACCTACTTGGTTACTGAGGTCAACTAGAGACCTAGATAAATTCCTTTTTGTTTATCTATAACAAATACAGCAGTGGAGACTTAAAGGGATAGTTCACCCAAAAATGAAAATTCTGTCATCACCGTGGTACTCTCGTGAATGCATGTTGACTGACACGGAAGAGAAGAAACTGTTGAATAAAGTCGTTATTTTTGTTTTCTTTGTGCACAAAAAGTATTCTCGTAGCTACATAACATTACGGTTGAACCACTGATGTCACATGGACTATTTTAACGATCTTTTCTGGGCCTTGAACGTTTCAGTTCCCTTTGTGTCCATGGAGGGTCAAAAAGATCTCGGATTTATTAAAGAATTATCTTAATTTCTGTTGAATGAAGGTCTTAAGGGTTTGGAATGACATGAGGGTGATAAATTAATGACAGAATATTCATTTTTGGGTGAACTATCCCTTTAAAGGGGATGAAGAGAGTATTTACGGGCCCCGCACATTACATGTAAGGGGGAAAAACATTGACAGAAACAAGATATCATACCCGCAAATTATTAATTTGCTCCCTTGTTTTAGTTAAATTGTGGCCATTGGGTCAAATCAAATTAAAACAAGGGAACAAGCATGGATTCAATTGACCTAAACAAGGGAACCGATGAATAAGTTCAGCAAATGGTATATAATTAAAATATGGCAACAAATCAATCTGTTGTGGAAACAAATTTTTATTTTGTGGACATGATAACTATTTTTTCTCGCATGTGATGTGTGGGGCTCTGCAGGTTTTAGCGTGCTGATAGTCTAAGAAAAGAAGAAGTTTTGAAAAATGTCTTTTGAACATGAAAAATGTTTTTGTCCACACAATGAAAGTCAATGAGGTCCAGTGTTTTTGGACCCCACTGACTTTAATTGTATGAACAAAAACAGTTGAATCATTTGTCAAAATATCTTCTTTTGTATCCAGCGCAAGAATGGAAGTCAGTCAGGCTTGGAACGACACGGGGACAGAAGTTTCATTTTTGGATGAAATACACATTTAAATTCGGCATTTAAATTAAAAATGAAAATTCACCTTACCTATTTCTAAATACAAGCTGATCATATTGTTACTAACTGATCCATGCAAATAATTTTTTTTTGTTTGCAAATGTTGCATTCAGATCTGCCTCCATCAAATCAACAACTAATGAATAGAAAGTTCCAATGATACTTTTTTTTCATTTTTGATCATCGGTTTCACTCGGATGTATGTCACAATGTGGAAGAAAAGATCTGTCACTACGTTTCCTTCATTGCAACTTTTAAGATCGTCATTCAGAATCCACTACCTAGTCATAGGGAAGCAGAGCAAAATGAATCCTTCCAATACAATCTTTGGAAACAAAACCAGATGGTAACAAAAACAACACACTTTGGGTGTAGAAAGTCTCAAGTCATGCTTTTTTGTGGAATCCCTTGTTGTTGATTGCTTCCAATTAGTGCATATTGATCTACACTCAAACAGTAACTGCAAAGCGCGTGTTAAGCTACCAGATCCCTCTGTGGTTGAGAGCAGCAGCTGTGGCAGATGATTTAGGACCTGCTTTTCCTGCCTAAATAATATCTTTTAGAAATGGCACCGCTGATCTCAGATCATCTGAAGACGCCTATCGTGAGCTTAGGGCGGCATCTGGGGCCTCTTGGTACACAAAGCTGCCCTGACAGGTCAATACAGGGGGCTGTTATTGATGGCCAGTAGGCTTCGTTGATAGACTCCGCTGGGATGCCTTTGGCACAAAGGCCGTAATGTCGTTTGATCATTTTCACGAGAGACTGGGCCTGAATGACGCACGATAGCGAAGTACATTCTCTGGAAAGTACATGTTGACAATGACACCATGGGGAAGCATTGAGTTAAGGTGCGGTTGCATTACTGAATTTTCATCAAAATTTCGAGGGCAAACAAATAAGGTCTGTTGGTAATCGTGTAGCGTTGTATAAAGCAGAAGTCACTTTCAAAATGAACTACTTTCTGTTGGTCAACGCAGTGAATCTGCGTGTCCAATTTGAACCAGTTGCAAAATTTGCATGGGAAAATATTTCGCCCTCACATGAAATTTCAAATCACGTCGATTCCAATTGAAATGACTGAATTTCGCTTGCAAAAATTCACCGAACAATGGTAAACTTGGGCCTTACCTGCAATCCACAGCAGCCCACCGCGTTCATGATGGAGGCATTGTGAATAACGCGATACTGAATCCCAGCATTCAACGCTCGCAGAACCAGGTCGCTGTGGGTCGTAGCTCTGAAGAGAAGAAATGCAGTTGTTGTTTTTTTTGCGTACACGACTCCAAAACATGCGCCAACCGCAGAAAAATGGCTACTTATCAACATCTTTCTTACTAGGGTGTTGCGCTGTTTACATGTGGAAGTAATCCAAATTACGCCAAAAATGCTTATCCTTTCGATCTTGGATATATCATTAAACTTTATTAAACCCACAAATTCTTAAGTGCAGGAAAACGAGGAGTCAGACCCCCGTCCCCCTCCCGCTATGTGGGTTTCGGTGGTTTGGCTGGAAAAATGCTGGAGCCAAACACTACGCAAAGCTCAACCGTGACTAGAAGCGACCGAGACGGGAAAGTGCGGCGTAATTAGCTCATCTCTTCTGGAGAATTTCCAAAGTACCCACACCTCAGACGTCCACATCCCGCTTCTCCTGAGAGCGATAACGTTGCACCCCAGAGCTTTGGTGCTCAACCACTCTGTGGTTCTTCAGGCACAAATGTCCTGAATAATAGGAAACATTTCCATTATTTATCTCCTGTCAGGCTGTAGAAAGTGTTTTCCGATTGTTTTTTTCTGATGTTTCATTACACTTACGGTAAGAAATGGATATTTATTTTGAGGAGTGCATGCTTTCAAGAAGCTCAACCGTGACTAGAAGCGACCGAGACGGGAAAGTGCGGCGTAATTAGCTCATCTCTTCTGGAGAATTTCCAAAGTACCCACACCTCAGACGTCCACATCCCGCTTCTCCTGAGAGCGATAACGTTGCACCCCAGAGCTTTGGTGCTCAACCACTCTGTGGTTCTTCAGGCACAAATGTCCTGAATAATAGGAAACATTTCCATTATTTATCTCCTGTTAGGCTGTAGAAAGTGTTTTCCGATTGTTTTTTTCTGACGTTTCATTACACTTACGGTAGAAAGGGATATTTATTTTGAGGAGTGCATGCTTTCAAGTGCACTTGATTGTACTTGAGGGCATGATCAGAATCAGAATGGAGTTTATTAGCCAAATAAGTTTGAACATTTCCAGCAATTTCTCATATAATTTATTTTCTAAAAAATAAAATACAACTCCGATAGGCCAGTGATAAAGCTTTCCGATGAAAGTCTGTGTAATGTATGGATTTAGGTTTCCAGATGAGTCACTGCACTTGTGGGATTGTGGCATATGTGATGGCAAGTTATGGGTGAGTCAAAACAATGGCAACATGAGGTGCATCATATGACCAATATGCACAGAAACCTCATAAATGAAAGTTGGCAAACTGTACTGTTGAGAGTTAATCCTCACTGGCGGATATTTTAGTTCAGGACAACTTTGAACTTGTTGAGAAGTTAATTTAATTTCACTTAATTTCCAGCGATATCGTCGACTTGATTGCACAGATACTATTTAAACTGAACTGAGCTGGATTATGACCACTGAATTCAATGATGAACTGCCTTTTTGCATTATTGACACACTATTTTCCTATTTAATGCTGTACAATTGCTTTGACACAATCTGTATTGTTAAAAGTGCTATATAAATAAAGGTGACTTGACTTGTTATCATATATGGATTAAATATGACAGCAGAGACAGGCTACTGTAGATCGTGAAGAAGTTAGTTAGTCTTACCCAAAAGGATCACCAACCACTAGAAACGCCACATCACTGACATCTGCTCCCTTCAGGATCTCATCCGTCTGTTGTTCCACCATATCTCTGTCGGCCAGCAGCAACTCGCGCCCATAATACTCCTCCTGAGACAGAACACAACGGCGCCGTAAATCTGAGTGCGAAATATTAGTATTTCTGATGAACACGTATTTGAATTTCATATCAGATTGTACCAAGTGTTGTACCAAGTTTTGATCTAAAGGATAGCGCTTAAATGCTTGATATTATTATTATTATTTATATTGCTTGATATTATTTTTGAATAGACATATGAAATTTGAATATAATATTTGTAAGTATAAAAAATATTTATATTTTATTCATTTAGCAGATGCTTTTAACCAAAGTGACTTACTAATGATGAAAACAACAAGCAATATTATGAATAAAATAAATATATCATTAAAAAAAAAAAGAAACTACATTTCTTTATGGACGAGCTAAAACAAACCTTGAAAGAAAAAACTTCTGACTGGTAGTGGAAGATTTCTTTTAATTTAAATAGTTTTGATTCACAAAATATTAAAAGAAAATTAATAAATAAATAAACAAACATTTTTTTCATTTCCAAATAATATAGTTTCTGATATTTTTTGTGGGGCCAAAATGTCAAGGTGGTGAAAAATATCTTAAAAAACAATAAAGCTAAAAAAAACATAATTATGAATATATATATATATATATATATATATATATATAGTATTATTTCTTATTACAAAATTATTATTTAAAAAACTTTTGTCCGCCAAATAATCAGTGGGGTGCAGTAAGTTGCCCATTTTCTTGTCATGTGACAAGACAACTATTAAACAGGAAATGATATCACAGAGAGAGCTTCATGATTACATGTCAAGGAAAGTAAAGTTCTTAAAAATTTCATAAAAAGGTCAAAATATATAAGACACTGCTAGTTCAGGTCAAATTGAGTAAGCCCAAAATAATATTCATAATGTTGTGAACTATGAAATATATATATACTTTTTTTTTAGTATTAAAGCATATTTTATGTAAAATATGGAATAAACCTTTTTAAAAATGTCTGAAACATTTCTTGGCACGTGTGTTTTAAACTACATTTTAAATTCCAAAATTCCAAAATGCAATCATCTGGTTTTGACTGTGATGTAAATCGAGCTGTCAACTGTCAGGATTCAGATATTATAATGTGTTTAATCATCCACATACCAAAGCTTCCTTCCCGACGGTCAGTATGGACGTGTAAGCCTCCAGATAAACACGACTACACTGCCGGACGATCTCTAAACCTTTAACAGTGATGTCTTTACAATCGCCCAGACCAAGACCGATGAAATACAACATCGCTGAACCACAGATGACACCGGAACGCAGTTACACTTCGCCAAAAGGCTAAATCATAAAAAACATATGTATATGCGCTTTAACATGCAAAAGAGCTGCCTGACGAGATACTATTATGTGATCGTTTATCAGACACTGAAAAGCTTGCAGAATACATTCAGTTCTTCACCGTTCTCTGCTATTCTGCACTCACATGGAGCCACATGCAGCAACTGACAACCGGCTGCCGTAAAGCGTAGAGTAGTTCACGACAGTGTCGCGTACTGTATCCATAGAAACAGAATAAGCGGTGATGATTGCTGGTTGGACTGAACTAAACCACAAGATTTATTGACAAGACGTTCGTTTAAAACCACATTCATTGTGTCTAGGATGTTGTGCACAGGTAATAATTGCCCATAAGCCATTTTAAAGTTAAAATAGTAGTTATTTAATTCTATTCATATTGTTAAATTTGTTAAAATACACATTTTTAATATTATAATATTATTTATGTGATGATTATAACATATATATTTAAAACATTATTTATAAATAATAGATTTTATTTTTGATGTATTCTATATATATATATATATATATAATATTAAAATATATTATTTACAAATAATGTTTTACAGTTTTTTTTCAATTGCTAACATCCCTTTGTCCAATCTATAATCACATTTTCAAAACTCTAAACACAATTAGCAAAACATCTGTCTGTTGTGACCATACCAATTTCAAGTCTTTCCATTACATGGCCATGCACAATAAAAAGGCACTGGCTGGAACAATATACAGAACAACACAGAGAAGCAGAAAAATAAAGAAAATGTCTGGACGAGGGAGAGGAGGAGTTGGACCAGGACTGTCTGGTTTGGTTCAGCTACCAAATCAGAAATCAAGAGACTACAACAGACAGCCAAGACTGCTGAGACGATTATTGGCCCAACCTCCAAGATCTGTACACCTCCAGAGTAAGGAAAAGGGCTAAGAAAATCACTTTGGACCCCACACACCCAGCCCACTCTCTCTTCGTACAGTTGCCTTCTGGTCTGCGCTACAGACCATAATTTTCTTATATTACTGTTATAATTCCTGTGTAGGTCGGCCCTGTCATGTATGTTTCCACTATGTCCATCCTTCCTCTGCACTGGAAGCTCCCGTCGTCAAGTCAAATTCATTGTGTCTGTAAACATACTTGGTAATAAAGCTCTTTCAGACTTTCTGACAAAGGAGAAGGAGAGGTAGGGGGCAAAAGGCAAAGGGCTGTATGCTTTTTTTTTTTGCACACACAGAAATGTCATTTTGCCAATAAAGCCTTTACTGCAGCAATTCTGTCCCTTTTCTTTGACATTCCATAAAGTACTGATGACTCCTTCACTATGCTGTGCACATACGATCTAAAATGAATCCACACATTTACACACACACACGAAAAAAATGTAGAGTTCAGCTGACTGAATTATTGTTATTATTATTATAATTTTTTTTTTTTTAATGGATCTCATATTGTATGTTCTATACAGGTCGAACTGAGACATGACAAGTAATGCAGTTTTTGTAATGCTATTAATTGTTATAATTTTGACAGTCTATGCACTATGATCGACTATATGTTCCTATTGGATAGAAAACCTGTGCCAATGTTTTGACTGAATGACTCGATTTTGATTTGGGTTGGCTGTGTTTTGATAGAGTTAGTAAATGTAGAAAAAGGTATTCGGCATTTTGAAACGTAGAGTTTGTATTTATTTAACAAAATGTGGTTTTGGCCAGAAAATTAACTATTTGGCTAATTGTGTGATGTAGGTGTGTTTCTGTGTTAAGAGTTTAGAAAAAGTACTTTAAGTATTGGTAAATGCTTGTTAGCAATTGACAAAAACTGTAAATAGGCTATATGTCCCATATGTCAGTTTATACTTTCTTTATACAGTATAGACGTAGTAGACATCTGTATAACTTTACTCATTATATCATATATATCATCCACAAAATATACAAAATATCCACAAAATATATCATCCAGACTTCATTCTAAACCAATGATTTGTGAGCTATATATAGTTCTTAGATGCATTTTTAGTTATTTTGTTACATATGTGTCTTTGCGTGACTTACAATTGCCACACAGCTCACAAGCCATTGGTTTAAAATGAAGTCTGGGCATTTAACTCTCATTAACCTTAAAACCACACGTTCAGACATATTGTGTAATTCAGTGCAAAAGTCTGAATAACTGGCAAATTCAGGGCTATTTACTGTGCTGTTTTCTGTTTATTTACTCTGTAAAGCCATCACTTTCACCCTCAAATTGCAGAAAAAAAACATTATGTTGATAAATGTGCACACAATCTTTTCCCAAATACAACAGAATGCAACATTTTATGACTTTCTGGGTTGTTGATTTATGATTTGTGCAGCACTTTTAGCATGTTTGGATGTTATGGATTCCAAGGTGTTTTCAAGACCATTTATGGATTTATGATTGTTTGGATTACTTAAAAAATGTGTGTAAATCTTAATGACAAATAATGTGTAAATAATTTCCTTGTGTTATCTATTGATTGACGCTGTTGTAAATTCATGGTCTCTACTATGATTCCTAATGTGAGTCGGGATTAATCCATGGTACTTAATAACCTCGGTTTAGCAGACCTTGAGCTTGACCTGCTTTATTTGTAGGTTAATAGGCTGTGAATTATGGTGAGGACCTTTTGTTACACACAGCTGATACCTGTAATGAATGAACACAAATTGCAGTCAAAGGTCCTTAATCTAAATATAAGGCTTACAAGCCCTAAAGGCTCATGGACCATCTGGTCTCCACCCCCAATGAACTTGTAACGTGGAGTCAAACAAAGACATTTCAGGATTTTCAGGCTGTTATGTACTGGTTTGACACATAATTATTTAAATCTATTTGCTTTATTTAGGAGAGTAAAGTAGAGTGGGCAAGTTGCTCGGAAGTCACTTGGCAGTCATCTTGGTCTATTTCCAAGCACAGCTCCTAAGAAAAATTAAATTCTCAGAAACTGTTTGTGAAACGCAAAGTATGGGTAATGCAAAGGTTTAGAGACGGAGCGCAAAAGTTTTGCAAGGGAATGTAAGGTTTTTTGAATGAACGCAACATTTTTCAGGGGAACGTGAACATTTTTCAGTTAAATACGAAGTTTCTTGGGGAACGCAAACAATTTGTATGTAAACGCAGTGTTTCTTGGGGGAACGCAAAAGTTTTTCCCATGAACCCAAAATTTTATGTTGAAACACACAAAGTTGAACCCAAAGTTTCTTGAAGGAACACAAACATTTTTAAGTGAATGCAGAGTTTATTGGATGGACACAAATGTATTTTCAATGTTTTCCAAGTTAACACAAAGTTTCTCAGGGGAACGTAAATGTTTTGTGAGCAAACACAACGTTTCTTGGGAAACGCAAACATGTTTTGAGTGAATGCAAATTTTTTTTGGTGGAATGTAAATCATCTTTTAAGGTTTCTCAGTGGAAAGCAAAGATTTTGCAAGCAAATGCAACATTTTTAGTGGAGCGCGAAGATTTTTTCAAGCAAACAAATTTTCTCAGTGGAACACGAAGATATTTCAAGCAAACGCAAAGTTTTTAGTGGAGCATGAAGACTTTGCAAGCAAACACAAATTTTCTCAGTGGAACGCGAAGATATTGCAAAACGCAAAGTTTCTCAGTGGAACGCAAAGATTTTGCAAGCAAACGCAAGGTTTTTAGTGGAGCGTAAAGATTTTGTAAGCAAACGCAAAGTTTCTTAGTGGAACGCAAAGATTTTGCAAGCAAACGCAAAGTTTTTAGTGGAACGCAAAGATTTTGCAAGCAAACGCAAAGTTTCTCAGTGGAACGGAAAGATTTTGCAAGCAAACGCAAGTTTCGCAGTGGAACGCAAAGATTTTGCAAGCAAACGCAAGGTTTTTAGTGGAGCGTAAAGATTTTGCAAGCAAATGCAAAGTTTCTCAGTGGAACGCAAAGATTTTGCAAACAATGCAAATTTTCTCAGTGGAACGCAAAAATTTTGCAAGCAAACGCAAGGTTTTTAGTGGAACGCAAAGATTTTGCAAGCAAACGCAAGGTTTTTAGTGGAGCGTAAAGATTTGCAAGCAAACGCAAAGTTTCTCAGTGGAACGCAAAGATTTTGCAAGCAAACGCAAAGTTTCTCAGTGGAACGCAAAGATATTGCAAGTAAACGCAAGGTTTTTAGTGGAGCGTAAAGATTTGCAAGCGAACGCAAAGTTTCTCAGGGGAACGCAAAGATTTTGCAAGCAAACGCAAGGTTTTTAGTGGAGCGCAAAGATTTTGCAAGCAAACGCAAGGTTTTTAGTGGAACGCAAAGATTTTGCAAGCAAACGCAAGGTTTTTAGTGGAACGCAAAGATTTTGCAAGCAAACGCAAGGTTTTTAGTGGAACGCAAAGATTTTGCAAGCAAACGCAAAGTTTCTCAGTGCTTTTCCGAAAGAATGAAAATGTTTTGCGAGCGAACGCAACGTTTCTCAATACTTTTGCAAAAGAATGAAAATGTTTTGCGAGCGAACGCAATTGCAAGCAAACGCAAAGTTTTTAGTGGAATGCAAAGATTTTGCAAGCAAACGCAAAGTTTCTCAGTGTAACACAAAGATTTTGCAAGCAAACGCAAAGTTTTTAGTGGAGCATGAAGACTGCAAGCAAATGCAAAGTTTCTCAGTGGAATGCAAAGATTTGCGAGGAAACGCAAATTTTCTCAGTGGAACACAAACATTTTGCAAGCAAACGCAAAGTTTCTCAGTGGAACGGAAAGATTTTGCAAGCAACGCAAAGTTTCTCAGTGGAACGCAAAGATTTTGCAAGCAAACGCAAAGTTTCTCAGTGGAACGCAAAGATTTTGCAAGCAAACGCAAAGTTTATAGTGGAACGCAAAGATTTTGCAAGGAAACGCAAAGTTTCTCAGTGTAACACAAAGATTTTGCAAGCAAAGTTTTGCAAGCAAGCGCAAAGTTTTTAGTGGAGCGTAAAGATATTGCAAGCAAACGCAAGGTTTTTAGTGGAACGCAAAGATTTTGCAAGCAAACGCAAAGTTTCTCAGTGGAACGCAAAGATTTTGCAAGCAAACGCAAGGTTTTTAGTGGAGCATAAAGATTTGCAAGCAAACGCAAAGTTTCTCAGTGGAACGGAAAGATTTTGCAAGCAAACGTAAGGTTTTTAGTGGAACGCAAAGATTTTGCAAGCAAACGCAAAGTTTCTCAGTGGAACACAAAGATTTTGCAAGCAAACGCAAGGTTTTTAGTGGAATGCAAAGATTTTGCAAGCAAACGCAAAG